TCCAGCCTGGGAGACAGAGGGAGACTCCATCTCAAAAGAAAAAAAAAATGCTCTTGATCTGGAATCTAAGAAACATACTATCTGAATGAAGTCAGGCATACCACAGATGTATTCTTTGTGTGTCACTGGTCATTGCCCTGTTCTGCTGTGCTAAGAGGGATTCTTGGCTTGGTATTTCTGCCATGGCAGTGCGAAACACACTCTATTTTCTGGTAGCCTCAGTGCTGCCATGTAACTGTATAACTCAGGATGGTGCATAAAGCCAACCAAGGGGACAGCCTGATGACAACGATTCTTTCATGTGCTCAAGAGACATTGATATTATGTCTTTTTTTTAAATTGAGATGAAGTCTTGCTCTGTTGCCCAGTCTGGAATGCAGTGGCATGATCTCAGCTCACTGCAACCTCCACCTCCCAGGTTCAAGTGATTCTCCCACCTCAGCCTCCCGAGTAGCTGGCACTAAAGGTGTGCGCCACCATGCCTGGCTAATTTTTGTATTTTTAGTAGAGACGGGGTTTCACCATGTTGGCCAGGTGGGTCTCGAACTCCTGACCTCAGGTGATCCACCCGCGTAGGTATCCGAAAGTGCTGGGATTACAGGCGTGACCCACCTCTCCTGGCATGATGTCTTTATAATGAGAGTCTTAAGAAGGAAGTTCCAGCATAAGAAATATTCCAGTATTTCAGGTGATGGTAAAGCTATCCTGTTGCTTAAAATTATCCTATACACGAAATGAGGGAAAAGTACTGTTCTTAGTTTGTAAACCTAACTTCCATGAAAATACTCAAATGTCATACATATTGGGCGAGGAAAATCCATTCTAATGATTACTATAATTAAACATCAAATACATACAATTATAGCATGTCAGAGCTGAAATATATCTTAGAGCTGTAGGCACACAGGATTTTGGCATTTTGTTGTTGTGATTGATTACTTGAATTTACTGAGTTACTAAGGAACTACTTTTAATGGTATATTTTAGAGGGCAGTGATTACTGTATTGTCACAAACTTTGGCATTTTAGGATATAACTTCCTTTTACTTTTAGGTTCCACACTGATTTAGAAAAAAAGTAGGTTCATCTTTAGTACATACAAACGGTCACAATTTCTGAGATGAAGCTCGTTCATTTTGTGTCTACTGAAATCTGGAAGGAGTTTGGGCTGCCATAACAAATACCATAGACTGGGTGGCTTACACAACAGAAACATATTTTCTCACAGTCCTGAAGGCTGGAAGACTAAGAATAGGCTACCAGCCAATTTGATTCCTCGTGAGGGCTCTCTTCCTGGTTTGGAGACAGCTGCCTTCTTTCTTACCATGTCCTCACATGGTGGAGAGAGAGCCAGCTCTTTGGTGCCTCATCTTTTTTTTTTTTGAGATGGAGTTTCCCTCTTGTTACCCAGGCTGGAGTGCAATGGTGTGATCTCGGCTCACCGCAACCTCCGCCTCCTGGGTTCAAGCAATTCTCCTGCCTCAGCCTCCTGAGTAGCTGGGATTACAGGCACCCGCTACCACACCTGGCTAATTTTTGTATTTTTAGTAGAGACGGGGTTTCCCCATGTTGACCAAGATGGTCTCGATCTCTTGACCTTGTGATCCACCCGCCTCGGCCTCCCAAAGTGCTGGGATTATAGGCATGAGCCACCTCTCCGGGCCAGGTGCCTCATCTTATAAGGGCACTAATCTCACCAAAATAGGGTCTCTCCATCATGATCCCATCTAACCCTAATTGTCACCCAAAACCCCCTCTCACAAATACCATCACGTTAGGAGTTGGGGCTTCTATGTATGAATTTTGGAGGGAACAGAAACATTCAGTCCATTACAATAATTAAATTTTTTTCTTTTTAAAATCACTCTGGCTGTTGATTATTACCAAGGTGCCAATTTCCAGGGAGTTACTTTTAGCTATTTATTTATTTTTTGAGATAGTCTCACTCTGTCACCCAGGCTGGAGTGCAGTGGCGCAACCTTGGCTCACTGCAACTTCTCCCTTCCCAGTTCAAGCCATTCTCCTGCTTAGCCCCCTTAGTGAGTAGTGGACGATTATAGGCATGCACCACCATGCCCGGCTAATTATTTGTATTTTTAGTAGAGATGGGGTTTCACCATGTTCATCAAGCTGATCTCAAACTCCTGACCTCAAATGATCTGTCTGCTTTTAAAAAATATTCTGCTGATTTTCATGTCCCAAAATTTAGCAATTTGCTTTGATCTTGCTGAGTGTTCATGGGCTCTTTATTTTGTGAAACACTAAGAAGAATTCTTTGGGGGTAATCATTTGATTTTTCAATTGATTTTCAAAGCTTAAAGTTTCAAAATCTGTTATTTGTTTACTTGCCTTATATAGTGAATTCTTGCTTTATAGGCTGGATTATTTTCTTTGTGAAAGTGGCAGTGATGTCACAGAATTCTTTTCTATTCAGACTGTCCTTTCCACAACTCATTCTGGAGTAAGTAATCAATGTTTCCATTAGCACAAATGTTCAGATGCTATTTAAAATAAGACAAGGGTGCTTTATGCCCAAAAAATTCTGTGGATGCTCATATAAACTGGACATCCAAAAAATAATCTAGCTCTTTGAATGAAAATGTCATTCTTGTATTCAGTGAGTTCTCTGATGTCAACTTACTTCCTGGAATGACCTTTCCATAAAATCAGTTTGAATCAGTAGTAATCCTTGCTTTGGAAAAGCATATCCTGTGTGGATAACAAATATATACAGTGAAAATACACCAAAGACAGGAGGTCAAAGATCAGTAGGAAATTATCATTACTGCAATAAAAAATGATTGGATAAAGGATTTAAAGTCCTATACCTGGCACACTAACATTTAAAAAAATTTTTTTTAATTAAAAAAGAAAATTTTTGAGACAGGGTCTCACTGTGTTGCCCAGGCTGGAGTACAGTGGCACAATCTTGACTCATTGAAACCTCTGCCTCCCAGGCTCAAGCAATCCTCCACTCAGCCTCCCAAGTAGCTGAGACTACAGACATGTGCCACTATGCCCAGTTATTTTATTATAATTTTTTTGGTATTTTTAGTAGAGATTGGGTCTTGCCATGTCACTCAGGCTGGCCTTGAGCTCCTGGACTCATGATCCTCCCACTTCGGCCTCCAAAAGTGCTAGGATTACAGGTGTGAGCCACTTTCCATTACAGTTGAAGGACATCAATTACTGTATAATTTACTGAACAGTTTTTTAAATGTGATGTATGGGGAGGGGATTCTTTGGCTTTGCTGCCCTTAAGCTTACTTGAGTATGGCTTGACATGGATAAAAATGGACTCTTTTTCCCTTCCTGTGGAACTAACATTGAATAAACCTTGTCTCTACAGTGTATTTATGAAGTCCTTGAGTGGTTTACCATTAAAGTTTAAGTTTTAACATTAATAATTCAGATTGCAGCCATGGAAGAAATAATCTGTGTGCACAAATTAAGGTAAATTGAATTTTTATTTCCCTGAGCTGATCTTATCTACAACAGTGATTTGTTTTTGCCACAGAATACAAACTGAGAATACATATATTTTTGTGTAATGATATTTATCAACATTATTGTTTGCAGATTATTTCTATTATGCTTATAAATTATATTTTTACATTTGAAAATTCAAAAAACTTTATGAAGAAATTATTTATTAGCAAAACATCCATTTAAAGATAAATGTTTTATTTCTGACATAATTATCAGACCTTGGTGAATATTAATTTGTGACTGATAGTATAACATACATATGAACCAATGTTTGACACTTGCCATGTCTTTGATAAGTCAATACAATTTGAGAGGCAGTATTATGTAATGGTGAAGACAGAAACTGCAGACAGACTGCCCATGTCTGAATCTCAGCTCTGCCACCTACTAGCAATACAATCCTGAGTAAGTTACTGAATCTTTCTATGCCTCAGTTTTCTTACCTATAAAATGGGATTATAGCAAAACTAAATATCTCATAGGATTATTGCAATGATTAAATAACTTAACATATGCTGAGCACTTAAAATGTTATTGCTACAAACTCTAAGTATTTGTTATTGTTGTACAAAGAGGGTAAGAGCATTGACTCTAATGTCAGACATCCCCATTTTGAATTTGGCCTTCACCAGCAGCTGAATAACCTTGGACAAGCTACTTAAAATCATAGTGCTTTAGTTTCTTCATCTGAAAATGAGGATAATAACAAATAAGAGGACTAAAATAATAGAGGCAAAAGTCATAGAAAAGTATCTAATATATAGTAAGTGCTGAGTGAATATTAGCTATGGGTATTATTTTCACATTAGGGAGACATATATTTATTTGTTTGTTTATTTAAAGATGGAGTTTTCACTCTTGTTGACCAGGCTGGAGTGCAGTGGTGTGATCTTGGCTCACTGCCACCTCCACCTCCTGGGTTCAAGTGATTCTCCTGCCTCAGCCTCCTGAGTAGCTGGGATTATAGACTCACACCACCATGCCTGGCTAAGGGAGACTAAATTATATATGTGTCTCCTAAATATCAAATGCAGTATGAAATGATAAGTATGATATCAAATGAAAAATGTTATTTCCTGTTTCACTAGCTGGAGGATAACTTACGGTCACGTATTTTTAGTAGTAATATGACTCCAAATATCTATCCTGCTTATTATAAGAATATCTTTCCTTTCTGAGGTCCCCATATTATGGCAATTCCAGGAACCCAGGGGTTGTTACTCAATTTCAAGGCATCAATTCTAATGATTGTTCTTTGCTACTGAAAGACCATTGCTATTTCTGTAGTAGCTCCTCAGAGTAGTGAGTCAGACAGGTTCTGCTGCCAGCCCTCCTTTTCCAATTTGTTCTAACCACTGAGTCCTTTTTTTCATCTCTCTAAAGCACAACTAGGACAGAATCCATGATCCATGCAAGGAAGAAAATCAAGATCCCAGTTATTTACTGTTAAATAACAATATATAGTTATAACAAATAGTATACTAAGAAAGATAACTAGAAATGTTTGGAAATTAAGCAACCCATATAAATAACCTATGGGCTAAAAAGAAACTGTAACCAAAATTAGAAAATATTTTGAACTTAATAATAATAATAAGCCACATCAAAAGTCATGAGATGCGTCCAGGTGCAGTGGCTCATGCCCTTAATCCCAGCACTTTTGGGATGCCGAGGTGGGCAGATCACTTTGAGGCCAGGAGTTTGAGACCAGCCTGGCCAAAGTGGCAAGACTTTGTCTCTACTAAAAATACAAAAAATTAAGCTGGGTGTGGTGGCTCACGCCTATAATCCCAGCTACTCAGGAGGCTGAGGCTTGAGAATTGCTTGAACCTGGTAGGTGGAGGTTACAGTGAGCTGAGATCATGCCACTGCACTCCACCTTCGAGGACAGAGAGACTCTGTCTCAAAAAAAAAAAAAAAAAAAAAAAATAGGCTGGGCGCTGTGGCTTATGCCTACAATCCCAGCACTTTGGGAGGCTGAGGCGGGAGGATCACGAGGTCAAGAGATTGAGACCATCCTGGTCAACAAGGTGAAACCCCGCCTCTACCAAAAATACAAAAAATTAGCTGGGCATGGTGGTGTGCACTTGTAGTCCCAGCTACTCAGGAGGCTGAGGCAGGAGAATTGCTTGAACCCAGAAGGTGGAGGTTGCAGTGAGCCAAGATCATGCCATTGTACTCCAGTCTGAGTAACAACAGTGAAACTCCGTCTCAAAAAAAAAAAATAATAATTAATTAATGAGATGCAGCTAAAGTGGTGTTTAGAGGGAAATCTATATCCTTTAGCATGTGTTAGTAAAAAATGGCTAAAATTCATTATCTAGAATTTCATCTCAGGAAGTTAGAATATCAACATCCATTGTTTAGCTCCCACTTACCAGTGAGTCCATGACATGGTATTTGATTTTCTGTTTCTGCATTAATTCATTTAGGATAATGGCCTCTAGCTGCAACCACATTGCTGCAAAGGACATCATTTTGTTCTTTTTTATAGCTGTATAGTATTCCATAGTGTATACACACCATATTTTCTTTATCCAATCTATTGTTAATGGACGCTTAGGTTGATTTCATGCCTTTGCTGTTGTGATTAGTGCTGTGATAAACATACTAGTGCAGGTGTCTTTTTGATAAAACTATTTCTTTTCCTTTGGGTAGATAGCTCCAGTAGTGGGGTTGCTGAGTTGCATGGTAGTTCTATTTTTAATTCTTTGAGAAATCTCCAGAATATTTTCTATGGAGATTTAACTAATTTACATTCCCACCAATACGTTAGCTTATGTTTGAATTTTTCCACAATAAAATTTTCAAAAGGAGAGACACTATAAAAGAGGGAAAAGGCAAACCACAAAGAAGACATACATAACACATAGCACCAGAAAAGGGGACTACATCTGAAATATAGAAAGAATCCCTACAAATCAATAAGAAAGAGAAAGATAACTCAATAGAATAATTAGCAAGAACATAAAGTAGTAGCACAAAAGAAGATACCTAAATGGTTAATAAATATATGAAAAGGAGGCCAATTGAATTCATAATCAAGGACTTAGAAATTAAAGACACCAATTAAATAATACACATACAATGATACACATACTTTATCTTTTGTGCAAATATGTATATAAACTGGAGTTAGAGTACCTCAAGTTCTGTGCCAATATCAAAATAACATTAGCCTAGAATAGCTACAATTTAAAACACTCAAAAATCCCAAGTATGGTTGAGGATGGGGTGAAACAGCAACTCTTAGGTACAGCTGATTGGAGGAAATATTGGTACAACTAATTTGGAAGACAGTTTGGTAGTGTCTACCAAATTTGAGTATATGCCTACGCCTATGACCCAACAATTCCATTCCTAGGTATATATCCACCAAAAGTGTGTGTGTGTAAAAAATGTATCTGCAAAAGACAAGTAATAATATTGATAATAACATAGTAACATTCTTCAGAATAGTCTCACAAAACTGGAAACTACTGAGATGTCCAACAGTAGAATGAATAAATAAATTGTAGTGTATTTGTACAATAGAATAGCATACAACAAAGAAATATAAGGAATTTTTGCTACATACCTCAATTGACTACATGTTAAAACCTAATATTGACCAAGAGAAGCCACCCCCGCGCAACATACAATGTGATTTCATTTAAATAGCATTCAAAACTGAGCAAAACAAATCCATGGTGACATAAGTAAGAAGAGAAGTGACATTTGAGGAGAAGGGGCGGATATTGACTGGCCAGTGACAGGACAGGGCTTTGGGGTTAGGGTAATACTTCATTTCCAGACCTACGTAGTGATCACAGAGGTGCATGCACTTTGTGAGTCCCCCATCCAACTTTCAAACTGTACCCTTGGCTTTTTTGTATTTTTCTCTATCTATGCTGAATTTCAACAAAAGATGTCTATTACAACAAAAGAGTGATATAAACTTGGAGAGAGAGTTCTGATAAATGAAAAGGCCATTTTAGTGCATAGAATTATGGAGGAAATGTTTTAAAATCTTGCTTTAATTTGGTTGTTACAATAAATTCAATTTGAGTGGGAAGAAAAGTAATTAACATTTGTTCAAATACAGATATAAACTGGAGATGGAGGCCCTTAAGTTCTGTGCCAGGACCATAATAATTTCAACTGGAAAAAATTTTTGAAGCTGGTGTTATAAACATTCCACCACAGCCCAAAGAAGAATCTTACTCAAAGAGCTGTGAACTTCTAATTTTGAACAATATAACTTCCAGGCACACCCTCCTATACTGACGTAATGGAATGAGGTAATAAACTATTTAATATAAGGCAACTAAATTCTGGGGGAAACTACCAGTAATAATAGTTTTGGTTTTAACAGAATTACCCGGTCGGGGGTGGTGGCTCAAACCTGTAATCCCAGCACTTTGGGAGGCCGAGGTAGGGGGTGGATCATGAGGTCCAGAGTTTAAGACCAGCCTGGCCAAGATGGTGAAACCCCATCTCTACTAAAAACTATAAAAATTAGCTGGGCACAGTGGCAGGCGCCTGTAATCCCAGCTACTTGGGAGGCTGAGGCAGGAGAATCAGTTGAACCTGGGTGGCAGAGGTTGCAGTGAACTGAGATCATGCCACTGCACTCCAGTCTGGGCGACAGACTGAGACTCCGTCTCAAAAAAAAAAAAAAAATTAAAGAAAGTTTTACCATTTCTTTCTAAGAGTAATCAGTTGACCCTGTTAGGGTCAACAACTTATTAAGGAAATTCTGAGTTCCCATGATAAAACCATGCTGTCTACATATAAAAGATTTTCTGTATTCTTTATAGTGGTATAGAATTCACATTGGTTAGTAGAATAATAAGATTTTTGAGATCTGAAGTTCTCTCTTTTCTGCATGGGAAAATTTTGAGTAGGGGTGAGGTTGGTCTTTGCTACACATTTTTGGAAATATTTCCTTTTATTGTACTTGTATATTGTCATAAATAAAATTCTGGTTTAAATATTATGAATTACGGATGTGTCCTTTTGTCTACTTTTTTTTGTTAATCAATGAGAGCTTGTAACGTTGCTCGGGTTGGCCTTGAACTCATGGCCTCGCTTCCTCAAGCGCCAGGACATATGGCCGGAGCCACTGCGGCCCACTTGTCTCCTTTTTTTTTTGGAGATGGAGTTTCGCTCTTGTTACCCAGGCTGGAGTGCAATGGCTTGATCTCGGCTCACTGCAACCTCCGCCTCCTGTGTTCAGGCAACTCTCCTGCCTCAGCCTCCTGAGTAGCTGGGATTACAGGCACGCACCACCATGCCCAGCTAATTTTTTGTATTTTTTTTTTAGTAGAGACGGTGTTTCACCATGTTAACCAGGATGGTCTTGATCTTTTGACCTTGTGATCCACCCACCTCAGCCTCCCAAAGTGCTGGGATTACAGGCGTGAGGCACCACGCCTGGCTTGTCTCCTTTTTAAAACCAGTATCACAATATAAAGATAGTTTGCATTAGATGCATGGATAAAAACAGAGGAACCTTTATACTCTGCTGGTGGGAGTGTAAACTAGTACAGTCATTATGGAGAACAGTACTGAGGTTCTTCAAAAAACTACAAATAGAACTATCATATGATCCATAATCCCACTACTGGATATATATTCAAAGAAAGGAAATCAGTACACCACGGATATATGTGTTCCCTAGGTTTAATGCAACATTACTCACAACAGCGAAGATATGGAATCTACCTATGTGTCCATCGACAGATGAATGAATAAAGAAAATGTGGTATGTATATACACACACACACACACAGTCACACACAATGGAATACTACTCAACCATTAAAAAGAATGAAATCCTGTCATTCATAGCAACATGGATGAGCCTGGAGGACATCATGTTAAGTGAAATAAGCCAGAAACAGAAAGACAAATACCACATGTTCTCACTCATATGTGGAAGCTAAAAAGTTAATCTTGTAGAAGTAGAGAGCAGAATAGTGGTTACTAGAGGCTGGGAAAGGTAGTGGGCTGGGGGTTAGACAGAGATTGTTTAAAATATATAAAATTACAGCTAGTTAGGAGGAATAAATTCTAGTGTTCCATACAGCACTATAGACTGACTATAGTTAAAAATAATTTATAATATATTTTTAAATAGCTAGAGGAGAGGATATTGAATGTACTTAACAAGAAGAAATGATGCTGGACACGATGGTTCATACCTGTAATCCTAGCCCTTTGGGAGGCCGAGGCAGGAGGATTACGTGAGCCCAGAAGTTCAAGACCAGCCTGGCCAACAAGGTGACACTACATCTCTACTAAAAGTAAAAAAAATAATAGTCAGGCATGGTGGCCCATGCCTGTGGTCCCAGCTACTCAGGAGGCTGAGGTGGGTGGAATGTTGGAGCCCGGGAGTTGGAGGCTGCAGCGAGCTGTGTTTGTGCCACTGCACTCCAGGGTGGGGGGCTTGAAAAAAAAATATGAAAATCATTCTCATTTAATGAATATACACTGTATGTATCAAAATATCATTATGTGCTCCATCAATATGGGCAAATATGTGTCAATTAGAAAATTAATTTTTATTTTCAAAATAAAGCAGTTTGGGCAATTCTGTAAAAAGAAAAAAAAAAAAAAAAGAATTGGATGCATAGGGCTGGGTGGGAAGAAAGGGTTTTACCTCATACAAGAGGAATCCTGTCTTTACCTGAGCTCGCCACAAAAGATACCTTATCTTGTTATGTTTGGATTTGTACCAAGGACCTAGGCGGGATCTATAAACCTAACACAAAGTATCATGTGTAGTCATTGCAACTTTGAAGAGGGATAATGTCATTCTCTTTCAGTATCACATTAATTTTTACCTAATTTTAAATTCTTATTTGATAACCTAAAAACCTTGGAAATGTGAGAAAGCTCTTCTTTTATCCTCTTCCCTATCATGACCTTTACATAACAGAAAAGGAAAGAGCGTTGGTCAGGGAGCCAGAAAGAGCAGGCTCCTGGCCTGACTTTGCTCCTAGTTGTCTACAGACTTAATCTCTTTGTGCCTTAGTTTCTTCAGCTTTACACAGGTGATAATATTCTTTGCTAGTGTAATTTTTTTTGAGATGGTGTCTCACTCTTGTTGCCCAGGCTGAAGTGCATTGGCAAGATCTTGGCTCACTGCAACCTCTGCCTCCCGGGTTTAAGCGATTCTCCTGTCTCAGCCTCCTGAATAGCTGGGATTACAGGTATGTGCCACCATGCCTGGCCAATTTTTGTATTTTTAGTAGAGATGGGGTTTCTCCACGTTGGTCAGTTTGGTCTCGAACTCTGGACCTCAAGTGATCCGCCCGCCTTGGCCTCCCATAGTGCTGGGATTACAGGTGTGAGCCACAGGGCCTGGCCACTTCAGTGTGATTTTGAAAAGTGTAACAGAATGTAAATATAGGCTGACATTGTCAATCATTATTAATAATTATCATGTTTAGGTTGCATTTCTAAATATAAAAAGATAAAGCATATAGTATAGCAGTGCTTAGGCTTGGGAAGAATACAAGGAAATGAGGTCCGAAAGAATAAGGACTGGAAAAATAAAACACATCGGTAATTATAAAAAGATAAAAAATGACAAGGTTGCAATGGAAAGGTCAATACAAACTTTTAAATTATTTTTCTAATTATATCGCACATTCTACATCCTGCTGTGGTAGACATCCGTGGTTTTTTTTTTTTTTCTGCCTTGTAACTTGCCCTCTTCTGGCAACAGCAAGCTTTCCTTTCAATTGCTTTTCCCACATTTCATAGTTTTCTGGTGGGTTGTCAAACCCCACACACGGTATTCTATTTACCTAGCTTTGGGGGTATGCCAGGTGACCAAAGCCGGGCCAATCAGCATCCTTCCTTGAAATTATTTACATAGATGTGAAGGGAGAAATCTTTGTTCTCTGGAGATCTAAATGGGATATTTTTTTTTAATTGGAGCTCTGTTGCCTGTACAATAAACAACTACATTTCCTCATCCTGCCTTTGTTGCTGCATAGAGGCACTGAAGATTGGGCACTGAGATCATCTTTTGAGGGACCCGAATAAGATCTTCCCCGTATCTTCACATTTTTCTTCTAAGGACCATGTCTGGTAGATAATGGAATTTGTTTCTTTTCTCTTTTCTTTTTTTGAGGCAAAGTCTCACTCTGTCGCCCAGGCAGGAGTGCAGTGGTGCAATCTCGGCTCACTATAATATTCGCCTCCTGGGTTCAGGCAATTGCGCGTCAGCCTCCTGAGTAGCTGGGATTGCAGGCATGCGCCACAACACCCGGCTTTTTTTCCTTCGAGACACATTCTCGCTCTTTCTCCCAGGCTGGAGTGCAGTGGCATGATCTCGACTCACTGCAACCTCCACCTTCTGGCTTCAAGCGATTCTCCTGCCTCAGCCTTCCGAGTAGCTGGGATTACAGGCGCTCGCCACAACGCCCGGCTAATTTTTGTATTTTTTAGTAGAGTCGTGGTTTCACCATGGTCTCCTACTCCTGACCTCAAGCAACCCGCCCGTCTCGGCCTCCCAAAGTGCTGGAATAATAGGCATAAGCCAACGACCTCTGCCGGCCCGGCAAATTTTTGTAATTTTAGTAGAGACAGGGTTTTGCCATGTTGGTCAGGCTGGTCTCAAACCCTGGCCTCAAGCAATCTGCCCGCCTCGGCCTCCCAAAGTGCTGGAATTACAGGTGTGAGCCACTGCACCTGGCTGATAATGCAATTTCTAAGCACTTAACAGGCATTCGAAAGGCTCTGGAGTTTTTTGAAGAACAGGACAACCTGCAGTAAAAGAAAATCTTGGCCAGGGCGCCAGGAAACTTTGTTTTCTTTAAATACCAAGTCTATTTAGTAGGCTGTGGCATCTCCAGGAGGCTAAAATAATTTGTTGATATCATCAAACATCTAGTGTTCAAATTTCTCGAATTGTCTTAAAAATTTTGTTTTAACCCTTGGTTTGTTTGAATCAAGATCCAAATAACGAAATATAATTTTTATCATCAAGCCCACTGGCTGGTTACACTTTACCTCTTTTCAAAATAAATGTTTGTCACTGTAACATATTTCCATAGGCAAGAGAATTGAGAGATTAATTCAAGGTCTCTAAGTGCTTTACAAATATCAGATGGGCTCTAGTAATCAATTTACGGAAAATTTGCATAAGTAACATCTTGAAGTTAATCTTGCACATTAGGACTCAAAAGGCAGGAATGACAAAAACCCATTTGGTTGACTTCACAATCTTTCCGGGGAGGTCTCTTTATCTATTTTGATTGTTGGAAACAGAGACCCACGCTTTGGCCACTATATAACAAAGTACTAAAATTGTGTAATAATGCAAATTCATTAATACATATATTAAAATATAAATAAATACGTTTATTACAAATCTGTAGCTTTATTTACAACTAACATCCTTATTTTTGTCCTATATGCTCTCATTCATTCTCCAGCACAATGAAGGGCTGAGAGAGCATATAATCCCTTCCAGGCATAAATGTATGTATTTATTTTGCTTCAACTCAAATATGAAAGGACTGAAAATTATTATAGTCCCCACAACTTTATTCTCCCAAAGGTGCCAAGAGTGAGGCACTTTAACCATGCATAATCTCCACCCATCTCATCAAATAAACGGAACAGTGATGAACATAATTGCTAAGTAAGCTCAGCCGTGTAACAAGTCCCTGGATTCCCCTCCTTTCTTCATCCAACCAGAACATTATCCTTAAGGTCTTCCTAATTAGCAGTCTGCGTCTAACACCTACTCTATCCAGAGTCACTTAACATATACTTATTTGTTTTCAGATTCACATTACCCCTATCTTAACGGGACAACAGGGTCCGAAACCAGGCATGTGTTTGTTTTTGCCGTGTACTTATCCGCACCTTATTATCAAGTTCTTGAAAAGCTAGAATAAAACAAATCCGTGTCATCCACTATGTGCATCCTCTCTGCCTGAGGACGCCGGGGTTTCAAACTGCTGCCTCCCTGTCCTGGTCTGTTTGCGTGGGTAAGCGCCCAGGTTCTGATCCGCGACTAAAACTCATGATCTTCTGGCTCAGGTTCTGTGAACTGAGTCATTCTGGCACTCAGAATATTCCGTGACTCAGCAGGCCCGAAAAGGAGGATGTCAGAATCCAGATAATTTCGAGTCTTTTAAAGGCAAGCCGAGGAACACAAACAACACAGTGGAAGAATTTCGCAGTGGGTCGTGCGTACCCAAGGGAAAAATGTCATTCCATTCCCAGCCTTTTCACTTCCTTCCTTGCCCGGGTAAAACGACTGGCTACGCTTTAATTTAGCGGCAGGAAATCGCTTCACGAAACTCATCTGGCTGCTGCGACCAGGCTCTTCTGATTCTCCAAGGCCTATGTCGGCCCCCTGGACGCCCCGGGACCTCTGCTCTGGAGGGGTGGAGCAGGGACCCCGGCATCCCGGGTGGGACCCACACCTGGCTGGGCGGGGACCCCCCTGCCGCAGTCCACCTGGGAACCGGGCCCCGTGTCCGACCCCGAGGGACCTCCTGACCCGCATCGCCCCTCTAAGGTGCCCTCCCCCAACCCGGAGTCTCCCTAGGCCGCGGAGCCCGGGGACCCCGGCGACTCCCGCGCGGGGAGCCGGGTCTGCGAGGCCGCCCTTCCCTCCCGGCATGCACCACCCCGCCGTCCTCCCCTCCCCTTCCCTTCCCTCCCCACCTCTCCCCGGCTCCCCGCCCACCCCACGCGCCCCTCCTCCCCGGTCGCGCGCCGCGGGCCCGAGCGCGAGACGCAGCCGCCCCCGCTCCCGCCGCCGCCTGGAGGCGCCCGGGCTGACACGCAGTACATGGGGTGCGGAGGGCCGGGTAGCTGCCGCGGGGTCCGCCGGAGCTGCTGAGAGGAGACTGGGTTGGGCTTTCTCCTCAACCAGACCCCACCCCACCCCACCCTGCCGACCCCACCCCCTGCTCCTTCCTCCCCGGGGGCGCGCGCTCGGGCACGCGCTCGGAAGTCGGGGGTCGGCGCGGAGTGCTGGTTGCTCCCAGGGTGGTGAGGGAGGCGCGGAGGCGGCGCGCAGGGGCAGTGGTCGGCGAGCAGCGCGGTCCTCGCTAGGGGCGCCCACCCGTCAGTCTCTCCGGCGCGAGCAGCCGCCACCGCCCGCCCCGGAGTCAGGCTCCTGGGCCCCCCGGCTCAAGCAGCGGAGCGGCCTCCGGGGGACACCGCTAGGCGAGAGGAACGTGCCCGTGCTCTTGCCTTCGCTCTGGCCCAGCGTGCGGGCGGCGGGATGAGGGGTAGCCAGCGGGCCGCGAGGACCCTGCGGCCCCGGGGGCGGCTCTGGCCGGTGTTGGCTGTGCTGGCTGCCGCCGCGGCGGGCTGTGCCCGGGCAGCCATGGACGAGTGCACGGACGAGGGCGGGCGGCCGCAGCGCTGCATGCCGGAGTTCGTCAACGCCGCCTTCAACGT